GGGGGGGGGGGGGGGCGCACAGAACAGAGGAAGTGCCTCCTGGGGGTAGACCAATTCATTTAACATGTATTTGTTGAGAACTAGCTTCCAGGAGCTCATATTTTATCAAGGAAGAGGGACAAGGTAAAGCTATTATAAAGCACATTAAAAGGCCTTCAGTGCTATAGAAACAAATGAAACGGTGAGGAGCATTGGGGTGGGGGTGGGGCAGATTGCAATTTATTTTTTAAAAATATATCTTTATTGATTTCAGAGAGAGGAAAGGAGAGGGAGAGAGAGAGCTAGAAACATCAATGATGAGAGAGTCACTGATCGGCTGCAGCCCGCAACCCTGGCATGTGCCCTGACCGGGAATCGAACCCTGATCACCTGGATCCTAGGTCGATGCTTAACCGCTGAGCCACACCCGGCTGGGCCAGATTGCAATTTAAATAAGGCAGTCATGCCCTAGCCAGTTTGGCACAGTGGTTACAGCGTTGGCCTAAGGACTGAACCCCAAGGACTGAACGGTTCCAGGTTTGATGCCGGCCAAGGGCACGTACCTCAGTTGCAGGCTCTATCCCCACCCAGCCCTGGAATGGGTGCATGCAGGAGGCAACCAATCTGTGTGTCTCTCTCACATCGATGTTTCTCTCTCTCCCTTCCACTCTCTCTGAAAAGCAATAGAAAAAATATCCTCGGGTGAGGATTAATAAATAAATAAGGCAGTCTCAGGGGGCCTAATGGGAGACGACTTTGGATCCAGACCTAAAGGAGGGGAGGGAGCTGGGAGAAAGGCATACTAGACATAGGGGCAATAAGACACAAGGTTGCTTATTACTTACATAGAAACCACACTGTCAGACACAGCTCTACCTTAGATGAGAAATTAAACAGAATAAGGACTGCTGGCTATTTGAGCTAAACCTATATATTGTATATACATTTTGACCTCAAGGGAGCAGGATGCAAGGGCTGTTATTTAATAATGCTGGCTCTCTAAGATTTCAAAGGCCACTGCTCAAGGCACAGGAGGGATGTAGGCACTTCACCCAAAGGCTTCTGTAGGAGATGGCAGGAATCATAAGTACATGTCCTTTTCATCTATCTGTGAGGAGAGGTTTTCAGAAAACATATAACTCTTGGCACGACCTTTGTAAGTTACTGTAGCACATGTGATATATAAAGAAAACCAGCACAAAGTGGACCAGTAATAAATAATGGAATCTAATGACTAAACATACAAACTGTATTTAAGTGATATATTGCTGTATATAATGCTTATCTGTATGAGTTTCAAAATGAGCTGCATGCCCAGCCAGGTGTGGCTCAGCAGTTGAGCATCGACTTAGGATCCAGGAGATCACAGTTTGATTCCTGGTCAGGGCACATGCCCGGGTTGTGGGCTTGATCCCCAGTTGGGGGTGTGCAGGAGGCAGCTGATCAATGATGACTCATCACTGATATTTCAACTCTCTCTCCCTCTCCCTTCCTCTCTCTGAAATCAATAAAGATATATTAAATAAATAAATAAAAATAAAAATGAGCTGCAATACTAAAGTCCACAGAGAAAGAAAACATCAAATTACAAATTTCACTTTTATATAAATCTCTGTTCCCAGGGTCAACTGTCCACAGCCTCCACGTACTCATATAGCAACTCTGCCCTTTGAAACAAATTCCCTGTGACTGGGAATTTGCCTGCTTCTCCTTTCTGGGAGTAGATAGCAACCTTCATAAATAACAAAAAAAAAGGAAAGAAAAACCATCAATGAACTGGTATCGTTTGGGGCAGGTAGTGTATGGAATCCTTAATGTCCCCTCCTCCTTCTCTAAAGGACATGCACACAGTGGGTACATCTTTCTGCTGCCCTTCAGAGCTTTTCATTACCTTTATCTGCTGTTCAAATGTGGGTCGAGTCTGGTCACCAAACAGAAAAAACAAACTGCTAAGAGGATAATTAATGAGCTACTCACATATGGTATGCACTATTAAAATTTTAATATCAGAAAACAGCAAAAAAAATTTTTAACCATTCACAATTAAAGTGGAAAGAGATAAAATTATAAGGCAGCCATCCATGGAATGATTTCATGTTTACAAAGGACCCAGAAAATGGGACATTTAAATCACTGTTCAGGCTACTGAACCAGGGGAACTGCAGTGTTATCTCATGAGTCTTCCAACTTGCTAGAAGATGCTATCAGACAAAAGATCAAAGCCAATGTCCTTATGCTGGGCTGAGAATATCTGAGCATACTCCTAATGGTTGTCTTGTCCTTTCTGACAAGCCACAAATTTCCCTCAGGTCTCCGAGGTGAATCTAGGTGTCTCAGGTACAAAGGGGCCACATTATTGATTTCAATTCACAGCATCTCCAAAAGTGTTCTGCGGGTGAAGCGAACCATGTTGTATTGAGCAGAAATTCCCCTGTAGAACACCCAGAGGGTCCTCACCTGGCACTGTGGCAGTTTTGGATGAATCTGGTCATTATTCTCGGTCTCCCAAGGGGTCCCGGGGCCCCATATACAAGAACATTCTTTGGGGCCTTGTGCTGTTGACATACAGTTCCCATGTTCAGTACCTAGCTACCATGTGTCTAGGGGCTTAATACACTCGATGCTGGTGTGTCCTCCTAGTTCTAATCCTTGAAAAAGAGAAAAACCAGGCAATGACACATAGTAGGCCAGTAAAAAAACAATTTCTCCTTTCTACAAAGACCTGACCACACAAAATGGCCACCTCTCTCTTTTTTCCTAAAGATGATTCAAAATACAAGAACAGGGCTGACTCAGCTGATTTGAAAAGGGAAATAAAAAGGTAATGATTTGGGGTGGGGTGGGAAGAGAGAACATGTAGCCTCTGTAGACGGTACCATTTCTAACTCTAACCTCCAGTGCAGAACCTTTGCCTAAAGAAAAGAAATGTGGCAACAGGGTGTACAGGAAAGCTACCAGACCCGAAACACTGCTGCTCAGAAGAAACAGGGCCTGATAAACAACTCACTGGAGAACAGCTGAGGGGAATGAATCAGTAGTATTTTTCAACTTAACGTGCCATTTAAGAGGGTACGAAGAATCTGAAGAAAGTCTATCCCTACCAAGAAAAGGGAGTCAAATTGCAATTAAGATTAACTTTGGTTATGAGGAAGGACTATGCTTTTCATCAATTGCATCTTTGGTAGCCAATAATTCCATCTGTAATCATGGCAGCCACTTAAGTATCACAAATGTTTTCAAATATGTGAGAGCATTAAGGCATCCACATCTACGGAGGCAGTTTTAAACAAGACAGAAATGGAACTGAAGTGTGTCAGTAAGTGACCATTGATGTGGCTCTCCTGGGACACTGCCCACCATGAGCAAGTCCGTCCCCCCCCCCCC